GCTTTTGGGCAGAGGGCTGAGAAAAGGGAGACAGCCTGCAAACATAGGGCACTGATGCCTGCTGTCCACCAGATGCAGTTCTTTCCAAGTCTATCAGCCTGAGTGATCCTGATGCCAATTTTCTCTACAGACTGATCACGAGACGCAAGCTGGACGCAGCGCTGGTTATAAACAAGGGACTTTGTTTGTTTGACTTAGACACGTGTATTAGCTCCCCTCCACCCCTTAACTCTTTAATTTGCAGTGCAAGACGTTAGGTTTCTGCGACCCCTGAAAATCCCAGTCCATGGACACACTGTACATGTTTCCACCATTGGTGACAGACTGAAGAAGAGGGGTGATTTGCATTCAGTATGTTGCTCACACCCATCCTTGACGTTTCCCATACTATCAGTTACACACCCTAACAACCCTGCTTATTTAAATACTTGCCGGATGCAAAAACGATTTAAAACATCCAGGGATCTGGTAGGCATGAGAAGAACTTTATGTGTTTGTGATACAGGCGCAATCCACGTCTGGGCAGAGGGGAACCAACACCCATCACGCCTGAGATGTGAAATCGCAGCACTCTCCCACAGTCTCAGGGAAGAACACTGGTTTTTTTTCTCATGGTGTCATCCAGATCCATTTCATTATTTTCCTCCTATGTCATTTAACAAAGTTTTTCCCTTAGGATCCCTTTTTACACAAAACAGCTGGGTATCCACCTCCACCTTTTGCATGAGGGAAACAGGAGGCTCACAGTTTCTTGGCTGAGATATTCAAAATCCTGAAGGTTTATTTGTCAGGTGGCAAGGCTTCCGTGCCACCTCTATGGGGCAGAGACGCTGCCAGCTGAGGAGCAATCAGCAGTCTCAGACAGCATCCATCTAAAACATGGTTAATGCTTCCAGATGCTATCAGGAGCTTTTACTGCATGCAAAATTAGGATTTAAAGTGGTACATGGAACTTCATCTACATATAACGTTTGCAGACAGCTTTCATCTTTGTTTCTTGTTGAAAGGACGTCGCTACTGGGTGCGTGTGCCACGCCACATAAATACTTCAGCATCTTCTGCAAACATATTTATGGTTATGCTCTCCCATCTGCCACGGAAAAGTTAAGGCTACAGGAGGGTGATTTAACAAGAATGGAAATAGTCTGTCTTAGTTACTTTTCTTCTAGTTTGTGTTTAAATGCATGCATGGAGCTATAAATTATTTAAGTCCTGTTCTTGCCAGTCATCTTTGCTTTACGGTGAGCAGCAATGAGACATTCATCTGGCCCGAAACAGACTGAAACAACAAGACCCCAGCAGTATTAAGATGAGGAAAATGGAAGTGACTGCATGAGGGGGACTGGGATGATTTCCATTGAGGAGGACCTTAACTTACATTGATCAGAGGCAGTGACGCCCTTTCCTAGCTGTGCTAACGCCACTGGAGAGCAAATGCTGCATTGCCAAGGTTCATCGCAGTGGGTGTCCATCAGAGCGTGAGGCTGGACAGACTGATTATCTAAGATACATAATTTTGGCTAGGGATGGGAAGGAAACATTCCTCAACCCAGACACTTCCCAAAATTTGTATTTCATTGGTGAAACGGTGCCTGCTGCCAGTTTTAAATGTGAGCATACTCTTGTGATTAAATGACACAGTTAAAAAAAACCAACCCTATCCCGTGTAGGCTCGATAGCCGACTGGCTGGCAAATGTCTTGAAGCATTCATAGTTCAAGTGATATCAGATTAAAACCAAGCCAAGTAGCTGATGACAGATGATGATACACTCTGGAGAAACGGAAGGGTTCTGAACAAAAGCTCTGTCCACACACTGATGCTTTGGAGACACCACTAATATAAATCCTAATTTCTTCATGTTTTCAGACCACCATTCATCCCAAAACACTACAGATACTGAATAAGTGCCTTTTTCACTACAAAGTTAAGCTGTGGTAGTCTAAAAACTCCATGAGCAGCTCTACAAGGAAACTTCTGAACCTTTAAGTGGTGGCAGTGACTCAAAACCATCAGATAATCCTGCACAGGAGAAAACCCGCACGTGAGCTACAGTGAAGCTTCAGCATCCAAACAAAATCGCTTCCCCTCTGCACCGCTCCTGCTACTCTGTGGTGTACAGCCACTGGACCAGCTGATCACAGGACTCTCCAGATCACTGCACAACCCTGGGTTCATCTTCATTTCCACCCTGCTCTGAACAGGAAGAAGACACTGTGCTCACCTGGTGGCTTCCTGTTGACTTTGTGTATTGGCAGGCTTAGTTGTAGCACTTGCTGGTGATCAACCCATTCGGACAGCGTGCCCTCTCCTAGGTTCCCCAAACAGCCATCTCTGTGTTTCTGCTGAGGACATAAAAGCAGAGACTACAACAGCAGGTAATAGGTGTTTACTCCTGGACATCCAATGTCCAGATGTTTACATTTAATTTTAAGAGAGAAGGAGGTGGCACCAGCCACAAAACCAACCACACACGTTGGGCAGCACCGATGCCGCTCGGACCTTGAGCTATGGTGGGCGGCGTTGGTCGGGCCCTCAAGGGAGCACTGCTTGGGTACGGTGTCTTCTCACACACGCAGTGCCTGCCTGTGCAGTACATTCAGCTTTCACTCTGTGGCGTGGCAGATTAAATTAGACAGGCACATTTTTGGCTCTCAGATGAGTTTGGCCTTTGATTTCATGTCCAGGCTGTAAAGCTGACAAAGACGACAGATGGAAGCAAAAGGTAAACTGGGGAGAGCTAAAAGACTTTGAAAAATGGTTTTGTTTGTGCCTAGGAGCCATTCTTTCCATGTCAGAGGAGGATTGGCCACAGAGCAGTGGCAGATACTAGATCTACTATCCTGCCTGCAGGGCAAACCAACCACCTTCCCAAACTAATCCATTCACAAGGCTGCACAGACCAGTGTTTCCTTTACTCTTCCAGATTATTTAACTAAAAAGCTGCAGACCAGAAAGGCTGTTTCATATGAATTCGTCAGGAAGAACCAAATAATGTGCACAGTAACTAAAATAAGCCAGGAAATGAACTTCTCCCTCCACCACTCCCCCACGTCCCTTTCACACAAACAAAAACTAGCGGTTGCCTCTCCAGAAGGCACCGACTAATTCATTTGATTTCCCAGCTCTTGTTTTATTAAAACAAGTATATTTAGCAGGGGCTGCCTGAACAAAGCAGCGACAGCAGGAAATTGCCCATGTGGCCCTAATGCAGATGTGAATCAGCAGAACCAGGAGACCCGTGGCAATGCGAAAAGGAGGCTTCTTCTCCTTTCACATATGATTAGATAACGCATGAAAAGCATCGTTCCACTTATACCTACTTATCATAACACAAACATCTTCATTTATTCTAACACACACACATATTCCCCAAATTGGAAAAGCAGCCACGAGGCCATTTAGAACAATCATTAATCTCCCAGCCCATCAAATGCCCATTCTTCACTGGAATCTCAGTCACCACAAGAAATAAATCTGTGAAATGGTGTATTGCCGAGGTGATTTGTGACTCCCTCCTAAATGGTGCCTTCAAACGGACTCCCCATCCATTTGAGAGAAGCCACAAATTTTGGCCTCGGCAGCTATTTGGCTGCTCCCAACTGAAGTAGAAAATGGGTAACGCAGACTAGGGGGGGCTTCCCACACCCCTCCAGACACACACGGGACAGAGCCGCACACCATCAAGCTCCTTGCAGAAACCCTCAGGAATGCACTGCGGTGCCGCAGCCAGCAGTGGAGTCGGATCTCTCCTCTCTCCCCCTCCAGCCCTGCCTCTTCTACTTTGTCCTTCACTGCTCACCATGCCTCCTTCCTTTCACCTCATGTTTCTAATCCTTCACCACGCAGAGCTCCTGCACCTGAATGAAGCCCAGAGGAGCCTGAGCTGATCATCTGCTGTATTTTCTCTGGAATGAGCCTGATGGCCCAAAGGGATTTCTGACAAGCATGACCATCACCAGTAATTGCAGCCCTCTCCAGCTCTCATCCTCCAGGAGGCTGCAAATGCACAGTCGCTCAAATAATGCTGCCATGCCTCCTGTCAGCAGGCTCACTGGGGACAACCCTGTCCCAGGAACTCCCCACATTACAAATGGTTGCTGTAATACTTAACGTGTGTTCCTCTAGTCCTGTTGTCAAGGCCACAGCCTCTCCAGACCAGGGTAACGCAGTACAACTTTTGAACAAAGGCTTGGTAGCGGCACGCTTGGGGCAGGGGTCAGGTTTTACAGACGTTTAATGGTCTCTCTCTTACAATTAAGGTAGCACCTATGAAAGGCACCCAATTTTTGGTCAGGGGAGAAGAGGGAGAAAAATAATGACACGCTAAACACAAGAGGAAACACAGTTAAACTGCATGCAATTATCAAAGACACTAAAAAAACCTTACTACACTAAAAAAATACAATTTCAAAATAACAGTTAAATGTGCCCGGGATAGATCTAACCTTTAGCTGTCTGTAATGGCAACTGTTTTATAGCTCAAAGGAACTTACACAAGCTGTATTTTTATACATGTTTTTTATTAATGTTCTATCCAAAATCTCAGCACATCCGAAAGCTTCAGCATTGCTCACAGAACTGCATAGCAAACACATTCAGCTACAGTATTATTTGTATTGTCTGATGAAAGAAGGGCTTTAACAGTAACATTTGTTTAGTCAAGGACACACGGCTCTGTGGAGCCTGCAGGTGGATGTAGAGAAACCCAAAGTTGGGTAATGCTTCAGACCTGCAAAGCAAGAGGGTCCCTTCAGCCAAAGGGTTGTAGGGAAGAAATGCAGGTGAAAACCAAACTGTTATGCAGTCCGGGTTGCACTCAAAGGGCTCCCTCATGTGCCCAACATACTTCACAAATAATCACCACGCAGTTAGGGAAACAAGTCCTAAGGTTCAAGTGGGGCTTTACCAAATACCTCTTGTTTCTCAAACAGCCACGAAAGAAGGCATTAATAAGGAAAGGTTGGTCCCAGGCAGAGATGCTGTTCCCGTGGGTGGGTGTTAGTCATCAAAGTCAATTCTGATGGGGCCACCTGTCAGGATGTGGTTTGCCACGTGACCAGATTCCTCCTCATCCTCCTCCTGCGTCGCAGCCGACCTGCGCACCCGTCTCCGGCAGCCCTGGGCGCAGCGAGAGCTCTCATCCAGTGCCCCGCACACGAGGATACGGCAATGCAGGAACACCTCCTGGAGGGTGGCGAGACAGCAGCCCGAGTCAGTGTGCGGGTCTGGAAGTCAGACTGGCAGCGCTGCCAGCTCTCAGAGCAACACCATTCCCTCGGTACAGCCGTTTCTGTCCTCCCGTCAACAAGGTCCTCCTCCACCATCACCATCCACAGCCAAACTGGCTGCTCCCTCTGTTTTCTTACGTGCCCAGGAGAGGGCATGTTTTGCAGAGTGCCCAGATGAGATCTCAGGGCACGGCATCTGTCTGTTAGCCAAGGGCTACACAGGGAATATGAAGGCGTGAAATGATCTTCAAGAGGAGGGGAGGAATATATATATGTATATATATGCCAGGAATAAGCTTGGAAGAGCTTGCATGGACTGGTAGAAGCTGCATGGTAGGAAGCAGATCAAGAATGCATGGAGCCTCACAAGGAGATGGACTGATGGAAACGTGCAAGAGAATTTGACATGAGCTGACGTAAAGCTAGGAGACTGAGGGGCAAAGGAGGCAAATGGAGATTGATGAGGGGCTAAGATTGGCAGTTGAGGGGAGAAGGAGAACACAAAGGGCAGGGAGAGAGCTGCCTTTTCTTTCTGCGCAGTAAAGGCAGACACTGACAGGATTGCTGTTCCCTGCCCTCTAAATGACAAGGAGATTAAGCAAGGTTCTTGCAAGCAGCAGTAAGGGAGGCAAATATTTGTGAACGTTTGGTCAATGGTGAGGTTTGAAGCGAAATCCATTGCACAGGCCAGGAGGATGCAGGTTGGAGGCAGCAGTGGCAGACAGCCAAGTGAAATTTCTGTACTTTGAAAGATCTCATCTGTTTTAACCCCACTGAGGCTCTACAGGAGCTGGAGAGTCAGCTTTATGCCTTCCGGAGCAAGCAGCATTGGCTGAGCGTAACAACAGTGACTGAAAGACCTGATTTCTCCTAGCAGAGAAAAGGAAAGCTATTTGCATTAGGAAAATGGCATTATCCTTCAACTGTCCTCCTGCTACAAAGGTTCTGCCCCAGAGTGCCACCAGTCTGGATGGCCTGGTTTCACATTGAACTGAACAGTACGGTGGCCTTGTATCTGCAAACCTGGTATCAGTACTCACAAGAGCTAGAGAAGATGAGAGGTTAGGAGATTCAAAACTATAGTCTGCCTTGTTTTAGAGATGGATCACTACGTAATGTGCCTAACTCACCAGGTTTCTGTTTGGTGACTGGGAACACCTTTCTTGCCCAGCATACAAGGGTCCACTAAAACTACCCTGGAAACAACAAGGATTTTAACCTGCTATGGCGCTGATGTTCCACAGCCGTTATTCATATTTTATTTTAGCTTTTTTCATCACCCTCTCCTAAAGTACCTGTATCAGACTCCTGAAAGACACAACTGCTGGAACAGGCACAGCAGCATCTGCCTTGGGCCAGCCATTCCTCCCATTCACACTCCAACACAGCCAACTCTGTGCTGAGACTCTTCAGTGGATCAAGGCTGATGCAGTATCTGCGAGGCGGGTTTTGAGCTTACCTTGTTGTCTTTGCCCACAAACTTGAACACAGGAACCTGGAAATGCTTGGCAAGGTGGTCCTTTGACGTGTACTGCTTCACCGAATCATCAGAAACGCAGCTGAGGAAAGCAGAGGGATAGGCTTTAATGGCTTTCCCAGAAATGGAAAAAGAAAAAACATCCCAGCCTATTTAACCAGAGAAAGGAAAGGAGGGCTTGGCTGTCTCAAGCAACGCTACCATCCATGTTACTTCCTCTTTGGCCACAGGAGAAAATTCAGGAATGATGGGGAAAAACACCAGCAATGATAATAGCATCTCCAGACAACGAACAGCTCAGCAGCACAGAGCTGGCAGGACATGGTCCAGGCCCATCGGCAGAGGGACTGCCAGAGAGCTGCAGGCAACTTTGTCCTCATTTCACCTTCCTGTGCAACAGTCTGCAGCGAGCAGCAGAACTGTTACACATATATAATGTATTATGCACCTTCTTCCTACACATTTCTGTGCCTAAATCATGCTTAAACTGATGGAGCTGTTACCCCCGTTATTAAAATATCACAGAAGATGAAAACCACAAAAATCCAGATCTACTTTGCTTGACATCTTTTACATTTTTCTTCCTGCTGGGCTTGGTCAGACAGCTCGAATTCACCACAGCTAAAATTCATAACTCCAATTTCTTCATCACAAGCACTGTATGGTCATGTGAGAGGTCACAGAACTGCAAGAAAATTAGCTACTTTTACAAGAAAAATTACACTTCAGGTGCAGTCTGTTTATAAACTATTATAGCCTAGAGTTTGACAGGGAAACAGCAAGAGAAAAAGTTACGGTGATTTGATGATTACTGCTGCCTATTGCAGAGTCTCAGGTGTTTTGAGAGGCCCTGATGCTGCTGTTACATCACATTACAATGCAGCTCATCCTTTCTATCAAGTTAATTCCAGAAATATGGACTTTGCAAGATATATTTTAAAAAAACCAAACCCACGGTGGATGAGACAAGAGGTAATGGTGTGACAGCTGAAAGTCCCACTCGCAGCAACCTTTAGTTTCCATCTTTACACCAGAAATAGGTGAGGCATTGTCAGAAATGCTGATGTTTGACAGGTCCAATTATCAAACAGCAGCAAAGCCCCCGTGTGTGTGCAGCTCTGCTTTCACTAGAAAGTGTATTTGGAAATCTGTGCTGTTTGGCTGACTTGGCTCTGCAGGAACCCCTCCCAGAATCGCCCTTCTGCTACCTACAGCAGAGCGGTGTATGCTCACGGGAGCACTAAGCACTGGTCTGATCCTAGCATTATTTTCACCACCACGTATTGCCGTAGCTTTTTGCAGCCGGCAGAGGTCACAGTCTGAAGGGATATCCCCATCCGCAGCGCTTGTCTAGTTAACTTGCCTGGGAGGCAAACATAAAAAGTCATCATCCAAAGGAAGGTAATAAATTAACACCATGCATCTGGAAAAACTGACGAAGATCCCTACCCCTTGAGGCCAAACATTAGATGTTACTAAGTTGTTTAGGATAAAATTGCTTTTAAAACTAGCATTCCTGAAGGCATCCGATTGTAAAGAATGTCAGCTAAAGACTTTTCGTAAGCCACTGGCCAAGCTTTGGGGCCATGCAGTAAACTCATAGGCATGTCCTCATTTGTGAGCGTACAAACTCTGATCCTTCTTGGACACTGGCTCAAACTGACTCCTAAATCCCAGGTTCTTCAAAGGTTTTGCACACTGGTGGCAAGAAACCTACTGGTTTGGGAGAGGGAAAATGGAGGAAGAAGGAGGAGGAGAAACCAGGGATAAATGGAGCCTCTAAGTATGTCATATGGAGGTTTCCAACAAATGCGTTGTGGCGTGACAAAAAGAGCTCAGAAACCTCCCAAGTCACAGAGTCAAGCCCTTTGGCATCGTGTGTGCAGCCATACCACATCCCACCCTCCTAGGAAACCTCCAGACCTTGCTTCCCACCTTGGAGAGGTGAGAAGGAGCAGGGAGCACAGGTATGGAAGGAAAATGAGCGCTCCTGGTCAGGATACAGGGAAAATAACCCTTTCCTGTGCAATATGTGCTTTCCTTAGGGGAGCAGAGAGTGGCTGTGCCATGGGAGCTGTGCTCTGACCCTCTTACTGGTGGACTGCAAGGTGGAAAGAAAAGCTTGGAAAATAAAAAGTCACAACCTCAGCCTACAAACAAGGGGCAGCCTGAGGGGTAACAAGATGAACCTTGCAATGGAACGACCTTAAACGCATCGTGCTCAAATAAATCTCCTGACCGCATCAGATGACAACGGGTTGTCCTCGGTGACATGACCTTGCTGCGGATGCCCCAGAGAGCTGCAATGTTTATCACCTGTGCAATCAGTCAATGCCTTTTACCCATTTTTGTTTTGAGAAAGAGGAAGAACAAGACCAGAAGCGGGAGAGCTGCTGTGGGGCTGGCTGACAGGGTATTGCAGAGACAGCAGGGAGGGATCTGGGAAAATCCTGATTTCCAGTGTGGTCACATCAGCATAGGGAGAGGGCTGAGGAGTTCCACAGAAGGCAGCTCCCACCTCTTGCTAACTGCAGATGGCAGGGAATTAACAGGGGAGGAGAGGGAAATTTCCCATCCCTCAGTCTAAGGTACATTCCCTCAAATTTAAACAGTGCTTCCCTCTGGAAGTTGCAGTTAACTCCTGCAGGTCTGCTTCTACATGATCAAACTGATTTAAAAATCCCATCTCTATTGCCTTGGGCTTTTGGGGCTGGGTTGATGGAAGGAAACTGGGTTATTACAGAAGCATTTGGAGCAGGGACAAATCAGCAGTGTATTCAGCTAATTTTACTTTCTAATTGCTGCGAGCACACCGAGAGACAAAGAACTCCAGTTAGCTCAAGAGCACATCGTTAGCCTTTGGTCGGAGCGAGCGGCCCAATTTCAACCAGCACAGTGCACAGGGGGTGCCGTGTCTGGGGACACTGGGGCTTGCAGTGAGGGCTGGAGAGCGAAGCAGGCTGGATGAGGCTCCAGCCAGCCAGCTCCAGCTGAATTTCCCGTCAGTGAAGTTTTAATGCCCTCTGCAGGATAACAGTACCAAAGGGGCTGCTGGTGCCATAAATCCTCAAGAACCAGTGCTGCAGTGAACTCAAGAGATGATATTTTCTGCCTTCTCCCTGCTCTATTCGGCTCAGGTTTTGGCCACTGTTTTGAATCCCATCATTTTCACTCATGGTGGGAAATGAATGAATGTCTGGAGACTTGACTCTGTGAAGGGTCCATAGGAACAGCCAAGCCAGTGAGTCAATAAATCAATCCTTTCATTACAAATCTGCCTCTAAACCCCAGAAATGTCAGGCATTGAACGACTGCAGCCCAGGGTAGAGAGAAAGCAAGCTAATGCTGAAATCCTTGTCAGAAGGAAATGAAAACAGTATTTTTGTGTACTGTATCCTGCAGGACCCTTGTGCTATAAGACAATCACACAGGACTTGTCACCACCAGCTGCACCCGTGGATGACTGAGCCTATGAGATGAGGAAATAATTGTCCTCATGAGATGGTCTGGCAGACGGAATGCAGTACTTATATGAGCACAGTCCCTTGGCTGCTGGGCTGTGACACTTGGGTGTGTCTTGGGTATTACTTTGGCTGGACTTTCCTCCCCAGCGGATAGCAGGCTGGTTCCCAACTGTAACGTGTCCACAGCGCTGTCTGGTGAGCCTGCCAGGCACTGCTGGGTGCAGACACCCCACAGCAACGTTGCACCGTGGCACTACCACGTTAACAGCCAAACAAGTATCTGAAAACAGAAGTCATCTTAGAGCCCCAGCAGAGCCCACAGAAATGCTCCCCAAACCTCTGACACAAAAGCTGTTACAGTGAACTCACAGATCCACCCTGAGTTTTTTTACTAGTGTAGTATATTCTGGGAAGATCACTAACCCAAAAGCCTCAAAATTACAGCCAAACTCAGAGACCCTAAGCTTACTGCATTGACCAGCATCAGAGAGAGAGAGAGCAAAGCACCGGGAGCTCCTGGAGCTTGAATCAGGACTGGCCATGGCATCTTCTGGCTCATGCTATAATAAGGCCATTACGGGAAAATGAAGAAACTCGCTCCAGTTTCTGCAGCAGCTGCATGGCAGTGGCACGCAGCCATCAGGGCGTTGCGTCGATTGGTTTGGCACTCTGCTGGCTGGCAGAGAGAGGATATTAGGAAGGATCTCTCTTCTACAGGAGCCAACTCAATTATCCATAAGGCTATTTACAGGGAAATATGTCCTGTAAAGGCTGCACTTGGAGTAACCCCTCTCACTGTTTCTCCCAATCACTTTTGATGGGACAGGTGGTTTCAGCTTGATGGCCTGGCTGCCGGTGATTGCTAGGAACATTTGAGACAGGCTGCTGAGGAGAAGTGATAGCGTTTCCTGTGTCACACAGGCAATGCAACTTAGCTCCACTGCCAATTCCCATCTAATAGCCAGCAACAGAGGGAACAGTGAACTCACCCATCTTGAATCAGGTAGTACTTCAAGATCTCATCGATTTTTGAGGTGGGAGTGGCAAAACAACTCTCTACCAGTGTCTCTAGTCCACTGACATGTACCAAGGGTTCAATCCCAAAGTACAGAGAGTCTCGAAGCTTTAGGGTGGGAAGGGCACCCCTGTAGGGTTCATCAAAGTCTTTGTCTTTGAAGATCTCAAGAGTGAAGGGAAAGATGCCCTGGTTGCGGCTCATGATTTCCAAGGGAGAGTTTTTGAGATTGGGCACATAACCTTCAGAGATCGTGTAGCGGCGTGGGAACTCGCAGGTCACCGGAATCAGGAGCTTGCTGGTGCGGACAATGATGTCTCCATTGCTTCCTGGAGTCTGCTTTGGCAAACCGGTCACCAGGTTGGTGGCAATGATTTTATCATTTATTACCTGCAGCAAAGAAAGGCGTTTAAGGTAAAGAGGAGATCACCGAGAAAGACTTTTGTGAATTCAGAATAGCAGCTGAGTTTACCTTGTTCAGGAAACCCAGACATAAACTAGCCACTGAAAGTACAGTTCTGAACTTACGTCTTGCAACCAGAATGGTGTTCATCCTTACCTACGACCTAAGGGCCTCTACCAGTTTGCTGTCATGAAGCAGAAGAATTTGCTTCCAATTGCTACTCATCTGCTAAGATGAGCTCTCTGGTTCCTGACCAGTTGTTGGTATAACCATTGAAATATTACCAGGGAACCAGATTCTGTCTCAACAGGAGGGTAAAGAGTGACACCACTTGCGCTTTCTGCACTGGAATGATGGTGAAGCTGCCTCTGTGAAGTGCTGGGTAAGCAGAAAGCAAGTACCCATGGTGACAGACACACACCACTGGAGAGGAGATGGAACAAGCTCTCCTACTTTGGGATGCCACCCCAGGTCTAGTCCGAGGCCAGCTGCACAGCAACACTGGATACTGGTCCGATGGTACAGCTAAATCACCTTTATTCCCCAGGTAAGCCATAGCCAAGTCCCCAAATCTGAGAGGTCCCAAGAGACAGGACAGCAATGGGTGTACATACATCTACAACAGTGCCGCAGGACTTCAAGGAGAAATGGATGTTGACGTGAGTGCCGTTGGATACTCCTTTGCAGGAATTGTTGATGAGGGAAAGGTCCAGGCCTCCAACCAGGTCCTTTGGAATGCTCACCTCAATAGAGCTGGACTTGCACAGCACTGGAACTACAAGAAAAGTCCCCAGAGTAACAATCTGCACTACAAAACTATCAGGGAGTATCAGTATTCGGGAGGTGGGGAAGGGCTACATCAATCACTACTGGGGAAAGAAAGGGCAATCACATGCTACATTTATGTTACCATCTAACCACAGTAATCTCCCTTCCTATCTGACATTCCCATCTACACAACACAAACTTCCCGAGCTACCACTGCCTCAAATTCTCCTGGCACTGCAACACCACAAAAGATGGCAAAGATGACCACTATACTTGCAGCAGAAACGTAGCTATGCAGTATTTCCAGCTGTACTTAATACTCAGCACAGGTTTGATAGCTCTGTCTTGCACTGCCGTGTCTTGGGAAGAGCCTTTCCCAGATATGGATATTGAACTCTCAACACCCCAGTCAAAACCATTTTTTAAGACCTTTTATCTGGTTTTACATCAAACCCAGAATGTGTCAAAACAAGGCAGACTAATTCCGTGCAGGTGCTGAGCTAAAATGGAAACACCTCAAAATGCCATAATATTTTTATAAGCAATAACCCAGCTCTGACAAACAAATCCAGTTAGTTAGTTCACTCACACCACCTCCTTCCAACCCGTGAATTTTAGCACAGATCTCCATGTGAACTTTTAAAAATTAAAATTCCATTACATAAGAAATGGGAGAAAAATGTAGAGATTGGACAAAATGAAAAAGGAAAGAAGAAGGAATAATATTCAATAAAAGAGTTGCTGTCTGTATTCTCTGGGTGTATGCATATCTATTCAGTTGGATACAGGACAAGCATACCAGTGCATATATTCTGGTCTCTTCTCAGCCAAAACAACAAACCTCCTCCAGAATTTCCATTTATCATATTTTAAAATTACATGACAAAACATTCTGCGAATATACCAGCTCCCCAACCTTTTCCCTAAAATTAATTACAGTCCCAATCCTTGACATTCATGCGATCTGACCTTCTCTTAATTTCAGTCAAGTTAATTATAGGCTCTTTGCTAAAACATGTCTTTTACCCCCCTTAAAAAATTCCTCATGTCCCAGCTGAGGTATTTGTAACAGCTCCTGTGTACCTGCAGGGAGTATTTTTTAATAAAAGTTGATCTTTTCAAGGCCATACACTAAAATGTATGCAGCGTGCCCAAAGCAATGTGCTTTCATAATGACTTTGCTGGGTTAGAACAGAAAATTAAAGAACTAGGAATTACCTTAACTTTTCCTCCATCCGCAGTGGAAGGCAAGCAGGAATAACTGAGCATATCAAATGGCAAAGCTCACAAGGAGCCAAAGGGACTTTGAGAACACAATGCAATGCAGAGATGAATATCCTTGGGAGAACCGATTGGCTCAACTTGGATTTAAAGCTTCATTGTTCTAGTGACTCCTTGATGAATAAGAAAATGTAATGCTTTTGTAAAGGTGTAATTCAGGGCAAGACAGTTTGGATCCCAACTGCAATTCTCCAAAGTTCAGGACCAATTTGGTTCAGGCTGTCTGTCAAAAGTCTTTGACTGGCACAAAGGGAAGAAAGAGGAGACAGCCATTTCACCTCTGCTCTGGCATTGCAGGAGTTGTCTATGTGCATTCCACCACCTGGGCACAGAAACAAGTGAATGTCACCTGTGAGCAGATCCACTTTTGACTCAAGCCAACTCATCACTATTTGGGAAAACACTCTGGGAAACTCCTTACACCAACCATTTCAGAGTAACCAGTAATGTAACTCTACCCACCCTGGACATTTGTACACAGAAGAGTGACCAATACCGAAACCAGTGTTTCAGTTCTACCAGTTTCACAGTGGTGCTGCACACAGAGAGACCGCGTACATCAGCGTGATTCAGCTCTGGCCAGGCCTGATTCCCCCCAGACTGCCAGAAACAGCACCAGCAGGATGACCATGAGCCAGCACTG